TTGTCCAGTTATTAAAGGATAAGTAAATGTCTGGTTTGTGTCCTTCTGGTTGATCCAGTTCCTCCACATGCATTTTAGCAAGTGCACAGAATCATGCAGTAAAAATATTTTTTTATTAGCAAAATCTGGGTTCTCAAAAGTTTGGCTTGGTTTCAGGAGATCACTGTAAACTCTGCGATTAATAGCACTATTATCTGCAATTACAGCAACTACTGTGAAACCACACTCCTGTACAAAGTGGATACAGTGGAGTAATTTCAAACGTAGATCCTGAGATGTCATTCTGTTCACAGGTGAAAGTTCTATAATTTCCTGGTAGCTTCCAAAAACTGAAGATATGAGGAAAGCCTGCACTGTTGTTGCTGCTTCTTTTGCATTGTTTGTATTGCCAAATATTTTGCCCCCCAGAGTAAGTAATTGCAGATTTAACATATATTTCACACATCTGAACTACTACAATATTTTCTAGCTTTGTCAGTTTGTCTTGTTTCAATTTCAAGTATTGTGAAATGCTGCCAGTATGAGTAGACAATGACAACTGTGAAGTTTAATTGTGCAGTGTTCTTTGATGAGGCAGGCACAACATACGAGATTTTCTTATAAACCGGTAGCATGCTGGAGATTTAATGAACAGCATGAAAGCGAAACATAATGTGCTACAACTGTAACGCCTTCTGTTTTTTAACACGGTTAAAAGTTGCAGCTGCTCTGCAAGAAAGTTTACTTGTGTGTCAGTTACTTCATCAGCTGTCCCATTAGGAGTCCACTGTTGCTCTGCAGCACTCTTCAAAATACTTCCTGCTTCTTTGACTAAATCTGTGAAGCTATTTTGGCTTTGAATTTTACTATAATCCCAGGCATTGTAATGAATTACAAGATTTTCAAGCTGTGACCATCTCACAAGTTTATTGTTGTCTACAATCCATTTAAGGTCTTTGTCTTTAACTTTTTTTTTTTTGAACAAAGACTTGTATAGTCATATCAAGTAACACCTTTATGCTGACACCTATGGATGGTGCAGAGTCTGACTGTATGGTAATGACATACAAAACAAAACATGCTAAAGCTCCATCTACAGAAGCGTGTTTCCAATTTTTTTCAAAGTGTCCTTTAAGTTTGTTTCCTATCAGTGACTCCAGATCTTGGAAATCTGTAATGATATCTGAGGACAGCCAATCATTTACTTTTTGACATAATTACGATTAATATGTGATATACGTTCCTCTGGAGTTTTGCGAGAGGCTGGTACTTTCACCGATAAATAGGATGGAAGATCTGGAAAGATAGTTGGATAAGCATCTTTTTTTAAAGCGGGATTCTTTCTTGGGAGTATATGCTCGATTCCAGATTTGTCTGTATATTTATCAGACACAATAATATCTGACGTACGAAAATGTTTTATACATACTACACTGGTTTTCCCAGGAGTCCAATTTTTCCGTGGAATATGTTTTCAGCCATTTGTCTCTTAAAAGATAATTCGAAGGGAATCTGAAGCAACTTACCATATCCATAGAAAGGTTCATAATTTGAACGACACTCGGGTACAGAACATTTAGCAGGCATAGTTCCTCGAAAACCAACACACTGACGATAAATCCAACGTAAATTGCAGAAGTTGCTTACTAAATCTACTCCCTGAAATACCGCTTATAGGTGAATCAGACGTGAAAATTAAACCACATTAAAAACTTTCACAAGAAAAATAAAAGCGAACACACACTGAAACATCCATTTTGAGTTTGCCTCGGGAAGTGACGTCACCAGTCGAGTTTCAGGGCCTGTAATTTTCGAAGGCGTCGGTCTAGCCTTATATGCCCAAAAACCCTGCAGATGTCAAAAGGGCCCTTTACTTGCTTGCATATTGTACCCCACCGGGACATCATTCAAGCGATAAAGCACCCGGTGACACAAAGTGTCGCCATGTGGATGAGGATCACCCGTGGAGAGGTCCCAAAAACCCCTTTCAGTCGTTATGGCCACATTTGTGGCCCAGCTATGTTCAGGGCCCCCGGCAAATAACGAAAAATTGCATCCCACAAGGGGACGACTTTACACATGGTAATGCATCTTTACATACATACTTACTTAAAATAAACGACCCTTTTCACGCCGCTTCTGCATTTGTTCATAACGTACCAGATCCAACACACGTTCAACCAACTGTAACTCCTCGATGGTGAAAGTGATCAACCTGCTTCTGCCTTTACTTCCGATGACATTTTCTTGTGCTCAGTTTAGCCTGGATAGACATGGGAGCTCTGGGTCAATTATCAAAATGCGTCCCAAAAGAGATTTCAACCTAAGACGTTTGCGCCAACAGGCAGTATCTGGCTAGTGTTTGGGCCTGTACATCTTCGGTGATGTGGTCACTTTCCTCACATTGTAACCTTCTTCTTCTATTCCTCCAGTTACCTTGTCGTAGTTTCGGGTGGAGATGGAAGGATCGTATGAGTGCTCTTTCTGATGCATTGTACAAGCTGATCTTGATTTCTTAAATGTCGTTTTTGATGCCCTCATTCCTTGTTTTGCGTGCGCCCCCCCCCCCACCATCCCTTTTGCTCTGTTCATTATATTTCTTCATCATGGCTCTTTGTGGCGGCTGTTACCAGACAACTCTTGCCAAATGGTCAGACCATTTCATATGTTGTTCTTTAATGGACTGTGCGACTCGTTTCAGTCCTCTTCGTCTTCTAACTTCTTCTTAATTGTATCTATTCTCTGTTCCCTCGGTAGCTCTTCTAAGTTATCTCAATTTGTTTATGGTTTTACGCTCATTAGTTGTAGTTAATGTCCATGTTTAACAACTGCGTGGTTATGGTTTTATGCTCATTATTTGTAGTCTTCATCGTTGCATTCATCGGTTGTGAATTCATTGGGAAAGTCCTGGTTGTTCGTCACTTTGTACCTAGACCTGAGTTTTGAGTGTACATCAGTTTTACTGGCTCATTTGTGTGCAGTTCTTGTCTCCTGCCTCTCGGGCGAATGTACTCCGACTTCGAAGGAAATTACTTGTATTAAAGGTAAACGTTAAACAATTTGTTGTCAGGATTTTACGCTCATTAGTTGTAAAGGTCCACGTTTAACAATTATGTTGTCATGACTTTACTCCCAATGGTTGTAGCAAAGGCCCATATTCAACACTGGTAGCATAAAGTTACTTTGTGTAATCTGAATTATATATTGTCGTGTTCCTTGTCTGTTTGAGCTGTCAATAAAGCAACAGTTTTGATGTAGTGTGCACCACTCATTTGACAAAGGATTAACCGACTTGATACAGTATCCCTGCAACAGAAGAATGTCCCCACTTTCGCTGACTGCGTCCACACAAACACTTTGGAACCAAATCTGAGTAGATTAACCTTCCATAGAAAATCGTAATCCAAATCCGTGTAAAGATAAGAAAGACGCGTGTAGTTGCCTTCTAGACTATGTTTATTTTTTCTCTCCGTGCCGCCTCTACAGGCGTAGTTGAATGCTTTAGATAGTGCATCCATTGGTGGGATCGAGAATGTTACAAGGTGAAGTCCCAATATCTTGCACGGTGCCACTGTCTGTGACTTCAGTGAGTAGCATTGAGACTGCTTGCCTCTGCTGTAGGAAGCTTGTGTTGCTAAATCCAGCCCAATTTTGAACAAGTCTGCAAGAACCTTGGCGTGGGTTGGTTGAAGCAGGGCCGTCTTAACAGCATTTTGGGCCCCCGGGCAAGCCAGTGTGCTGGGGCTCCCTAGGACAACCGCTCACAGGAATGAAATGTAAATAGTCGATAAACTTAAACAGCCGGGCATTCTAACCCAGTCAACAAATGTCTACAGAAGTCGAATGTGTCGGTCAAAATGCGCAAATATTACGGCCCTGTTGTGTCGGGCACAGACCAAATATATCTTCGGATGAACACAGAATAAGATGTAATACATATTTTTTTTTTTTTTTCACTTCAGCCAACCTTGTGTTAAAATAGAAACACAGATTATACGGCACAATATGAAATTACTAGGAACTTATAACAAGCATTTGAGGCTTTTCTTTTCACAGAATTGCTTTATTACTAGCTTAACGTCAGTGGTCTTCAGGATAGTACGTGAGATGTCTGTAGTGGAGTCTGCACTTATTAAATATTATTTTGATTCTTTTTACTTGTTCAAGGCTACTACAAAAAACTTGTTATCCCATTAATTCAATAAATTCCTCATATATTTTCGAAGATAAATATAATGGATTTCCGTTACCAGAATTCTCATACCTTTTGAGATGTTCTACTAAGAAAAGGCAAAATTCACTCATAAATTAATTTTGGTATACCTAAATGATTGCCATTTTGCACTGACCCAGTAGTCTGATTTTCTACGAAATGGCAAACTTCTAGAGACAAGAAAGCGAATTACAGAAACCACACACAGGTGTCAACAACTGATGCCAATATTCCCGCTCCGAGCGATTTAAAACACACACACACACACCTACATATGTATATACGCGTGTGTGTGTGTATGTGTGTATTTTTTTGTTGTATGTGTGAGAGAGCTTGGAAAATATGTTTCGGTTTTACATTAAATAGAATTATTACGTAAAATAATCTTTACTGATGGTAAGTCACTTCACATACGCAGATGAGAACGGGGCCTCTAGGCTTGTGAGGCCCCGGGAAAGTGCACAGCGGGCGCCTGCGTCACTGGGTTGAAGGCGTAGGTTTTTTCTTCTTTCCTAAATAAGAAACATAAAAGAAGACTAGACTCTCTCAAAATGTCTACCTCTTGCTCTCTTGCCTTCACCTTTTTCCTTCAGTATGGTTTTTAAAATAGTTGTGTGTCTTGTCATATGTATATAAAATATCCTAATTGTCTTTATTTTATTCTTTAACTTTTTTCCCCCTTGTGAATCGCATCAAAACCTGTCTTTTTGATTGCTTTTATTTCTATGAAATATGAACAATTTTTTGTGTATTTAAATCTCGAGTGACTCAATTCTACAACGTTACTAATTCAGTTTTAGTGTTACAGACAAACCCGATGGCGAACCTCGGCAGAGGAAGTCAGGTTGTCAACCTGTACAGGAATCGCGGGACAACGAATTCATTGACCCATACCCTGTGACCTTTGCGAGCGTAGGGTCATCAAGTCCTACCCACAGACAACGGTCACAAACTATGGTGGAGAAAGGTAACTTGTATGTGTGCGCGTGCGCGCGTGTGTGTGTTTGTGTGTGTGCGTCTGTGTCGTTCTCAGAATCTGTTTTCAGACTATCAGTCTATTAATGAAAATTTGAACTTCATCGCAAACAGGGCACACCATAATGGCTCCTTTCCTCTAGCACTGAAAACCACAAAATATGCCCATCTCTGCCCCATATGAAAAGTCACACAGACAGCAGTCCAGGCAAAATCCAACAGCTCTTACGCGTATCAAATGCACAAGGCAGCCGCTAGAGCCACAGCACCTTCAGATTGTCATCAGTACTAAAATTGTTATCCATTGTTGATGTGAGCAGCAGTTACGACATACCAGCAGGTGCACACGCATTACTGCGTAAGGCACACCGACAACTCTGCGGCAACCAGCCATTTACCGAGTATGCAGTTTAAAATAAACATCTTCGAGAGCACAGACAATAACCATTCCTCACGAAATTCACTGTTAACCGTGTACTAAACTCAGTAGCTGACTGATGGAGCTGGGTTTCACTTTAACATTGTTGTCCCATCCAGTTTCCCACTGAGGGAGGGAATCCTAACTTTTCACTGGATTAATGGTTAGAACAGGCAGTCCTCGTGAAGGTGATGTAGGTGTCAGCAAAAGGGGCTAAGACTGTGTTTCGCAAACTGTTCTTAGTCGCGGCGCCTTTTTTTTTTTTTTCAATTAAAATGTTTCCACGGCGCTCTAATCTAAGTAAAAGTATGACTTTTCGTAAGTAAGAATTTTTTTTTTTTTTAATCGTGTATCTTTGAATATTTGGCGGCGCCCCTGTGAAGAGGTCGCTGCTCCCCGGGGCGCTGCGGCGCACAGTTTGTGAATCACTGTTCTAAGAGACACTACAGAATCTTGTATCAGGACCAGTCCAGTGTTTAGGATATATGACGCTTACACGCAGACGTTTATTTTACATCGTTCTTTATATCTTATCATTTCTAACACCTTAGGATATTTATTTATCCTCAAAAATGTGCCGTTTTTACAATTTTGCTTCCCTGTTCAGCTCAATATGTTGCACATGTCTAAATACCCGCCTGGTGAGGGTATTCTCACAACACACCGGTCATGTCCCTATGTTCTCTCATCTCCTGATATGGAGTCGTGCCTTTAAAAAAAAATCTACTCATCTTCGCGATACGCGTCATGCATGATATTTGATGGCATAACTATTCACAGTACATGAACAGTCACAGCATTCGAAGTGCTCTCCAGATAATCTGCACAGTCTTTGCCCCAAACACATGCATTACCCCCCCCCCCCCCCCCCCCAAAAAAAAAAAAAAAAAAAAGATAACGAACGAATGAACAAACTTTTTTTTCCCAAAAGGTTTGAAAAATTTTTTATTACACACGCAGGCCCGTCTAACATTCGGCACTTTGAAGCACTCATCTTTCAGAGTATCAATGCCTGTTTTCAATAATGCATGTTATGTTTATAATAATAAAATATGCATTATAGAACAATGCATAAACACATCGTGTATACACAATCATACAAACACACGCACGTACACATACTCTTACATTTTCATACATACACATACACACTCATATACAGACATACGTAATACATACATGCACTTACATACATATATACACACATACATACATACTCGCACTTACATACTTATATAAACCCACATGTATTCATACATACATACATACACCCGCATGCACACATAATACATACATACATCCATAAAAACACTAACACGCATACATACATACATACATTCATACATACATACATACATACATACATACATACATACATACATACATACATACATACATACATACATACGTACATACATACATACATACATACATACATACATACATACATACATACATACATACATACATACATACATACATACATACATACATACATACATACATACATACATACATACACACATATATTACACACACATAATACACACACATAAATTCCATACATACACACCTACACATGCATGTACACACACACATACAATCACATAAAACGTTTAGAGCAGCCGTATATGATGCACTTTAAAATTCTTGTCTAATGGGGGGGGGGGGGGGGGGGGGGGGGGGGGGGTTAGGTTTATTTTCTTGAGCATATTTACTTAGCCACATCAGGTTTTAAAGATTTGGTCTAATTTCCCCAGCTGGACTTTTGTACGCTGCTCGCAGGTACAGGCGAATCTCCAAAGAATTCGAAGACTTGTGCCTCAACACAACAACCGGCAAGCTGGCCATACCGACCCACATCCTCCTGCACCCGTTCATGTCCTTCTCAACCTCCTCCACGTCCCAGTCTTCCAGCCCTCTTCGGAAAGCTAGCAGCTCTCGGTCCAGCCTCGACTCCGTGGAAGCATCCCATTGGCCAGGTGACCCGGAAGCTATTCATTCTATCAGAAGGCCAAGAAAGTCGGTGGAGCAACAAGACAAAGAGAGGGTTATGCGTATGATTGTAGATATGACTAATAATTAAATGCATGTAACTTATTAAATGCACGGTCGGCTCAGTCCATCCCAAAATCCTCATCATCGTGCCGAGAATCAGGCTGTCTATTTTCGAAAAGAATCCGAAACAGTCAATCTGATGCCGTCTCAACAATAAAGTTTGCTTTTGTGGAACTTAACACTCTATGTCTCCCAGAATTAGGGTAACCATACGTCCAGTTTTCAGCCGGATGGTCCCGTTTTTTGGGGGGTGTTTTCCCTCGGTACTCCACCCCCCCCCCCCCGCCCCAGAGCAATTGTTCCGTTTCATAAAACAAAAAGTCTAAGAATAGGCTCGAGGAAAATATAATTTATTTTTATTGTTATATCTGTAGACCTTATTAGAGATTTCCACCCATCCCATTCCGGTGACCTGGGATGGCGGATGGGGGAGTTACTTACTTGGAATGTCCCGTTTTCAGTTCAAAATATTAGTGAGATGTCCTATTTTCAGCTCAAGCTGTTATAGTGACCCTAGGCAGTATGGATATTTCTATTAGAGATGTCTACTTACCTATTACTAGTTTTGTATCTTCTTGTCTGTAATTGTATCTTTGTTCGTTTCTCTCATGAGCTGATAAAGGCTTTCTAGCCGCAACATTTGTTTGTCGGTCATGACTATGAAAATGTGAAGCTGACTAACGAGTTTGCTTCTCTTTTGGAGTGATATCTTTCCCTGGTTATAAACTCTCACGCTGTACAGGTAGAGCATGGTAAACACACTGTGGCGTGGTCAGCGTAGCTATGGGAACCAACTGTCCACGGAATAAGTGGACACATCTAGGGTGCAATCTGCTGTTAGCTGAAGTGTCACAAAGCAGGGCACAATTCCAAAAGTCGAAGACAGGCTAAGGCAATGGGCAAGTGGAAAGCAAGGGGAAACTACCACATTATTTCTATCCCAAGAAACTTCGATGATGGGCAGAGGATATAAGTAACATCTTTAGTAGGAAAGGGCACCAAGGGAAAGAGCTGACGGGTGATCAATTTTTTAAAGGAAGGCTGTGATGAGAGCAACGTTCTGCGAAGGACCTGTTACATGATGATGGTGAAACTCTTAGAGGCTGCCGTTCGTAAGCTTTTTGTCAGCATTCTTCCGTTTGTATTTCTATCTTGCTAGCATGATTTCAACTTTCCCTTCCAGTATGATTCTGACAAGAATATTATGTTTTAAATAGCCTGTGTGTATTCACCAACTCATGTTGTGTTTTTAATCTATTACATTTTGTCTGAAAATGCTAAAGAAATCTGGCTAGGTGTTGTATTTTTACCCTTTTTTCAATACGTCCCTCAAGAACGTTTTATTTGATTGTCGATAGCCAAAAACACTTGCTGTGGGGTGTTTGTGACTTCCTTTAAAAAGAAAACATTAAACGTGTGCTGAAAATTACAGTAACCATGCCACTGTCTTGTAAAAAGTCAATAATGCTGTTAAAGATGTCAAGAGTGTTAAGCACGTGAAATCACCATGACGACGGATACGGTAACGTCACAACGACAGTTTGAAGATGACCGTCCTACTTTTGACAAAGAGGAGCAGCGTTCTGTTATTTATCCAGTATGTACCCCAGCAGGACCTAACAAATAAACTTACAATCAGAATAAAAACAAACATATGGAACGACGATCACTAAGGGCAAATACTTCAATGGAATGTGAAAGGAGCAAGATTTAACATGTGGAGACTTCAATATCAGTCAAACACCAGGAAGCAAGTTTAGGTGAACAGACACATAGGACTCGCAGTCAAACAAAATAGCAGACTCAGGCATGTCGGAAAGAACACCATAATTAACAGAGAGGGACATTAAGTCATTAACTGTGGCACAAAAACCGTATTTTTTATAAGAAACAGTCACAATTATAACCAAAAGCTCCTTTGTTTAAAGGAGCTGGTTAAACGTGGCCAGATTTTTTATTTTTATTTTCGCCAATAAGCGAGTTCTCTTTTCCGTTTTATGGTTTTGCATGTCTGTCAGTTTGGCACATGCTTGAGTGAACTAGGAAGTTTCCAAACAGCCGTTAATTATGTGCCAGGATCTTCACGACAGGGTCAAGCACATCAAGTAGTGACTCCAGAGTAGATTGCTGCCGTTGAAAGTCTTGATCAGGTTACAAGACAATATTTATTGACAATAGTCAATAGTTACAAGACAATAGCAGGGTTATTGCTATTTCCATCACACTTTTAAGCTTTTCATTTGAAGCCGACACGTACAACCAGCTGGGGGGGGGGGGGGGGGGGGGGGGGGGTTTGCAGAGATAAAATGGGGGAAAGGGGGGGGGGGAAGAGGCTCGGTGCCCTTATAAATGTTCCAGGTGGGAGGACCTTCAGGCAGACTGTAACCGCACTTTCCGTGTGGTTTCGGAGGCAGACAAACTTTAACTACACTTTCCACCCCCCCCCCCCCGCCCCCCTGTGGTTTCCGAGGTTTCCATTTGGATAGGGTGTGTGTGTGTGTGTGAAGGAGGGGGTGGGTTATAATAGCCTCACCGGTCTCCAACAAGCATGTGAAAGGCGAGGAACAAACATTCTTCATACAACTTAACTAGATGTGTAAAACGGAGAGGCATGCAAAACACAATTTCTGGAACAGGACCGGAGTTTAGAAATGGACGAACAACTTATACTGGTGAATGCTAAGAAGAAAGAGTTAAAGTGGCAAAACTGCTACTACCAGTACTATTTCTACTATTACTACTATTGCTACTATTACTACTGTTGCTACTATTGCTATTATTGCTATTATTACTACTGTTGCTACTATTGCTACTATTACTACTGTTGCTACTATTGCTACTATTGCTGCTATTGCTACTATTACTATTATTACTATTGTTACTACTTTTGCTGCTGTTACTTCTTTTGCTACTATTACTACTATTGTTTCTATTGCTACTATTTCTACTATTGCTACTATTTCTACTATTGCAACTATTGCTGCTGCTAATAATATTAATCATAGATAACTATTATTATGAGCTGAATGGCAAATGAATATATTATTTTTCAAATAATATAAAATGTTTAACAAAGACATAGAAAGAAAACTGTTATACCTGGCTAAGGGGCAGGGGCGCCTATTCCTGTTAAATTTGTTATTATGGGGGCGCGAGTTAAGTCCAGGCGCCCCATGCAGTTGATATACTTTCGCTTTTCTTGCTTTCCATATTTGATTCTGCAGGTTTGGGTGAGAACGCCCGCATTGTCCAAACAAGTGACACATTTTTGTGCTGTGGCCCCGCCACGCACCCGCCTTTAAAAAATACTTTTAAAGTATGCATATGTTTTATTTTTGTTGGGACAGAAACTGTCATACTTTTTGTCCTATTTAATCAGCTGTACATGATTAAGTAATTAGATTATGTCATACCGGGATTCTGAGTTTCTTTAACTTTTTTATGAAAAATAAGTTTTGTATGTGTGTGTATTTGTGTGTGTGTGTGTGTGTGTGTGTGTGCCAGCCAGACTACAGACAGACAGACAGACGGACGGACGGACGAGCGGACAGACGGACGGACAGACAGACGGACAGACAGACAGACAGACAGACAGACAGACAGAACGACAGACAGACAGACAGACAGACAGACAGACAGACAGACAGACAGACAGACAGACAGACAGACAGACAGACAGACAGACAGACAGACAGACAGACAGACAGACAGACAGACAGACAGACAGACAGACAGACAGACAGACAGAGACTGATATACTGAATACCAAAGAATAATGAAAACTGTGAAGCAGTTACAATCGAAAGGAGATGTCAATGTTTTGGTAACATTCTCAGACGAAGAAGACAAATAACAACAAAAGTCAGTGATAAACACCTGGTAGGTAACACAGAGTGCCACCATGGGGATGCGGATCATTATACAAGGGCAACAGTCAGGGTGGGGCTTTGAAATAAAAAAAAAAAATTGCGTCCCATATTTGGACGACGATGAAGTAAGTGTGATAAAAAACAGGCATTGCAATTAGAAATAAACTGAGAAAGGATCTCCAAGAGAAAACTCATGACAAGCAATAAAGGGGTAAAAAAAAAAACGTTTGTTTCTTTACATAGTTTCTAAACGATTTCAAAACATAGAACCTAATTGAGAAATCGACTACAAGCTCTATGTGACCCATAAACGGCGCAGCAGATGATGTTGATGCAAATAAGGAACAGACACTTTACTCTCCAAGTTACAGAAACTATCACAACAGAAGCCTAAAAGACACAAAAACATTCAAAGAAAATAGAATGAGTGTATTATTTTCCCAATCGATCAATCAATCAATCAATCAATCACGACTCCATAATAAAGGTTGGCCGCAACTTTGTCTCTTGTCTTGGATGTTCACTCTTTCGAACTGCTTTTTGTCCATATTTTTATGTTGTCCTCCCACTTTTATAGTTGTATGCCTGTTGCTCTCATGCATAAGACTTTTCATTTAATTATGGTTCTCAAAAGAATGTTATGTCTTCTAATCTAGTCGAACTATTTTAAATGTTTTTGTTTTTTTTAATTATTATTCCTGTCAGCATTTCTTTTGTCATTCTTAATCTCTGCAGAGCCCCTTCCCTCTTTTGATTGTTTTTGTTTTCATGAAACACACACACACACACACACACACACACACACACACATTTTTCTGTATATCCACATCTCTAAGTACTCGATTACATTTTCTTGTTGCTTGTTCATTGTTTAGGGTTCCATACTATAGGGCGGAATGCACATAACAACTGACAGTTCGCGCTTTCGAACTTCTAAATTACTACATTACAGACATCCGACCAGATTTCTCTAATATGTTCAGACCAAATGTAGGAGATTAAAACACAACGTGGCCTGGTGGATACATACAGGCAGTGGCGGATCCTACTTGTTGCGTTGTCTGAGCCGAAAAAGTTCAGATTCGTCTGATTCTGCATCTCTCTTGTGGCTTAGCTCCCAGCTTCAGGCGACTATACTACAACCAGAGAGTTAATTAGGAAAATACATTCAATCAGAACTATCATCAACAACAACATCCTGAGAATGCAAGAAGAGTCGTAACTTGGAGAACTCTTCCACATATGGAATATTTTTCTTTCTTTCTTTCTTTCTTTCTTTCTTTCTTTCTTTCTTTCTTTCTTTCTTTCTTTCTTTCTTTCTTTCTTTCTTTCTTTCTTTCTTTCTTTCTTTCTTTCTTTCTTTCTTTCTTTCTTTCTTTCTTTCTTTCTTTCGGTTTCCTTCCTTCCTTCCTTTCTTTCTTTCTTTCTTTCTTTCTTTCTTTCTTTCTTTCTTTCTTTCTTTCTTTCTTTCTTTCTTTCTTTCTTTCTTTCTTTCTTTCTTTCTTTCTTTCTTTCTTTCTTTCTTTCTTTCTTTCTTTCTTTCTTTCTTTCTTTCTTTCTTTCTTTCTTTCTTTCTTTCTTTCTTCTATAAAAAATTTCCCCCTAACGAGAAATCGAAACCCTGCTCACAACGCAATGGGCAAGCACGGAGACCTACTGTTGGGAAAGTAAAGGACCCTTTTCATGGCAGTGGTGCATCGGGCATATGATGTTAGACTCATTTTTTCTATAGACTAATCGACAGACGAGGGGTGCTGACGTCAACATCACACCGGCCGTCTTTACCTCCCATGATTTTTACCTAGTACCAATTTTAGGCAGGGCAAACCTTACAAACAAGGTTGATATTGAAGGAGAGGTGGGGGGGGGGGGGGCGGGGGGACTTGGCGTCAGTGAAGATTCGAAGCCTCGAGGTTCGAGTCAGCAAGGAAACGTATAGCCACTACACTACCGGGGTTCTCATCAGTCTATACTGTATGTTACTATCTTTACATTATTTCTCATTACCCCTTAGTTCTATGGTGGTTTCGACATTCTTCTGTAAGCTATAAAGCCACGCGTCAGTAGCTTCCGTTCTGTTTCTCACATGTTTACAGATATTTGAAATCTTTTTTTCTTTCTATCCTTAGCATTCATCGGATGTAACCTCCAGCAGAATGTTCTCGTTCTTCGTCCATGTCTGGACTTTGGTCTTTTCCATAATTTGAGTTTTGCGTCCGCATTTTTTAAAACAAATATGGTTTGTGTGTACGCAGACTGTTGGTTCCTTGCCTCTCAAGAAGATGCACTTCGACCGAAAGAAATGTCTAATAAGTCGCCTTTTTTTCCACACAGTAAAGATAATAATTATCTGGCATCAATACAGACAATAACTTTTTTCCACACAGTAAAGATAGTAATGATCTGGCATCAATACAGACAATAACTTTTTTCCACACAGTAAAGATAATAATTATCTGGCATCAATACAGACAATAACTTTTTTCCACACAGTAAAGATAATAATTATCTGGCATCAATACAGACAATAACTTTTTTCCACACAGTAAAGATAATAATTATCTGGCATCAATACAGACAATAACTTTTTTCCACACAGTAAAGATAATAATTATCTGGCATCAATACAGACAATAACTTTTTTTCCTGCGAAGAGAAGATAGAATAAATAGGTATGACAGAACCAATGATTTGGAGCATTGGGAGAGAATTACGGAAATTCCAGTGATTCAAGAGGTGAAGAGAAGATGCTGGCAGCGGATAAAACACACATTGAGACAACTCAAGATCAACATAACTAGAAGGTCTTTACCCTAGAATCAATAGGGGCGTATAAATAAAGGTTAACCACCCCCACACCCCCCCCCCACCCCCTTTCCCTAAAAAAAAAATTTGAGAATGAGTCTAGAAAATGAAGTTTAAAAAATATAGTGAGTACATCAGGTTAGCTGCTTACGATAGCAGGGGATAGGAAGACATGGTGTGAGGTCGTTAAGGGCCTATACTCCATTTGGTGAAAGGGTAGTTGCAAAAGAAGAATATAAACAAGAAAAACGACTCAGCCACCAACAGTAAGATCCTCAATGTTGCAACTCAGCCCCCACAAACTCACAATTAAGATAACTAATCATTTTTAACACTCTAGCTAGTCATTGATTGGCTACTTATGAAGGGCCAAGTTTCAGAAATCTACGACAGAAGACACTTTCTTGAGATAACGAAAGCCATTCGGACATCGCGATTGGCTTCCGCCAAACCATAAGACATCTTCGTGACCTTGATGACCCGAGGCGGCAGACTTGTACACGATAAATGTTATCTCCATGAGCCAACATGATACACACAATCAACACTGGATGTGATGACAAGACGCGGACTTCTTTTAACTGTACATGTTTAAACATTTAAAATTCAATTCTGTAGGTATTTATTTTATGTGATTTTTTTTTTTAAATTGATGCTATTTAATTAGTATGACAAGTAAGTAAATTCACACAACTTATCAGCTCTCACAGAAGAAGAGGAAAGAAATTATGTCTTCCGTTCGTATTACCGGAAAAAGGAAAGTGATGTCTTGTTCATATTTCGGTTAGAAGACCAATTATGTCTTGTTCATATTCCGAGTAGGACAGTTCTGTCTTGTTCATATTTTGACTAGAGAACAGATCTGTTTTTCTCATATTTCGTCTAAAGTACAGGTCTTGTTTATATTCCTATCTTTGTCTCTCACCTACATTGTTTATATACGAGCTAGGAGGACATATCTGTCTTGTTCCTATTCTGAAAACAAGGACGGATCTATTTTAACAATATTTCCACAAAGAGAACATTTCTGCATAGTTCACATTTTAATTAGAAGGTCAAATCTGTCTTGTTCAAATTTCAAATAGAAGGGCAGACCTATCTTGTTCATATTTCGACTAGAAGAACAGTTCTGTTTCGTTCAGATTCCTGCTAGAAGGCCACACCGGTTGTGTTCATTTTCCACACTTGAAGATGACTCTAAGCTGTCGAGCCCAAGCTTTCTCCGTGGAAAACCTCCTAAGAATGGAAACATCAACAGTAGCAAACTCTTCGTCGCCACAACCACGCCCCTTAACACTACAACGACAGTTTCCCAAACTCCAGGCTCACAGCTGGACAACAAATTCAAGACCTCTGACTACTCCCGAGTTTCTAATTACCAGCACCCACAACAATACAAGTCACGTCTTAAATTCCAACGCCTTCGAAAATTCCACAAACACATTTTTGCTCCATCATGATCTGTTTCGCCGGGAAGATGGAAAGCCGATACAAGGCCAGCGAAAGTTCTAGAGCACCGTCCTTTTGTTTTTGTCACCGGCAGATGCATTTTTGTAATCATCCCGCGGTAATGAGCATTGCTGGTGAGTTAAATTTGATATCTTTGTTATCTACGTCACTATTATCATCGCTGTCACTCTGATCATTGTTATCGTCATCATCATTGTCATCATCATCTTCGTGGTCGTCAGCGTCATCATCGTCGTCGTCATCATTGTCAACATTATCATCGTTGTCGTCATCATCATCGTCGTCGTTGTATCGTCGTCAACGTTATCGTCATTGTCGTCATCTTTGTCTCTGCCGTCGCTGCTATCACCACTGCCACCATAAACATCCTCGTTACAAACAAACACCACCACCATGACCATTAAAACATCAATATCGTCATTACTATTATCTGGTAGTCTGGTAGTCTTGGTTTCAGCTTCATAGCAAACGGGTTGCCCCATCTTTGCTCCGCTCCTGTGCCAGCGAAAAACACTCAGAATGTCTATCACAGTCCCTTGTGGAAAGATTGACAGACTGCTGTCTCAGCATATCTAGCATAGACTCGCATTAAAGCATATGGTAGCCATCCGAAGTGCTAACACAAACAGTCCAACATTAGAAATGCAGTTCATCATTGATGATAGCAGAACTTGTCGTCAACAGATCAGCAGTTGTCCGCGTGATCAATTTTAATACGGGTCCCGCAAGCATTGAACAACAGGCATCGCGCCATTTTCTGAATCTACAATTCACACCACCACGTTGGTCACAGTCGAAAAAAAAACATTCCAAATGCAATCCGCAGCTCACAGGGTCACGCCATGCATTCAACTCAGAAGCTGGGCGACGAAACTATATCCAGTCTACAAATGGAGCAAAAATGCATCGGCCACCGTCCGGCAGAAGCAAAAAATTTGCCTCTGTTCGAAACGGCGCCGCTGCCTAGCGTCCATTTTAACCGGAAGTTTTCGTCATTACTATTATCATTAGTATTATCGCTGCAATCTTTGTGCCCATCACGAATATTAGCACCAGCATCATAATCATCATTGTCACAATTTTCAACATCATGATCATCACTTCGTCAACGCTATCTTCATCATGGACACTACCATCATCATATCGCCAACACTGCTGTCGTCACAGCGTTGTTACAACAGCTATCGCCTTTATCATCTTCATTATCATCATCATCATCATTATCACAACTACCATCATCAAATCATCAAAGAATCACCATTACAGCAAATACAGCCATTATCGTTATTATCACCAGTACTATCATCAGATCACACACAGAACCTACTTTACAACATCGTCATCTCAACATACTGCTGTTTTAGTGTTTGTGTTTTGATGACCTGAGGTTGAAAAGGGATGAAAAAGATAAGGACATGTAAAAAACGAAAGGTTGCAAAATAATTGTTTAAAGCTTATCTTCTTCTTCTTCTTTTTCTTTGCGTTCACCAGCTGTAAACTCTGGTGGAAAGTTTTAGTTATTTGTCCACTTCTGGACTGCAGTCCTGTTCCAGAACCTGAGTGTTGTGTGTGCATCCGTTTTACAGATCTGACACATTTGTGTACAGACTGTTGATTCCTTGCCTCTCAGGCAGATGCACTCCGACTTCGAAGGAAGCTCCCAATTAGTCGACTCTTACGACATGCTTTTGGGTAGGCAGTGGGTCTATTCTTGTTTTCCCTATGAAAGGGCCCTGGAACCCACACGGGGGGTTTAAAGCTAAAATGACGTCTACTCATGCTTAGAAAATCTTACATACAAAAAGCCCCTGCGTAACTGAGAGGGCATGTGTGTGTGTGTGTGTGAGTGTGTGTGTGTGTGTGTGTGTGTGTGTGTGGGTGGGTGGGTGGGTGGGTGGATGGGTGGGTGGGTGGGTGTGTGTGTGTGTTTGTGTGTGTGTGTGTGTGTGTGTGTGTGTGTTGCAGACAGCTTGGAAATTCCCGCTGACTATATTGTTTGTTCTGTATCTACGTATATCCCCATCTTTCCGTGCTCACACACACACTTATGTCTTCTCGTCTAAACATATCTGTGTCTCATGTGTGTTGACAATTATTCCTGTTTTATGTTTACCTGAGGCCGTTTCGGGTTCCATAGCTCTCTTTTTGGTGAAACAGAAGACTATAATCAGACCCACCCATACTGGACTACAGTTTTGTTTGTAATTGTTCTGCGGTGCTATACAGTCGAACTGGTTTTCCTGGATTGTTACAGGTTTGATTCTCATCCTTGAGATGTTAATCCTGCAGACTGCAATCTTGGAGGAAAAAAAACCTATTTAAAATAGGGATTTTCCCCTCGAAGTCGGAGCGCATTTGCCTGAGAGACGATAAACCGACAGTCTGCATAAAAACCATACCTATGAAGCAGATGTGCACTCAAAACTCAAGTCCTGTAACAAGACTGAAGTATAGAAGTGGACAAAACTAACACTTTCTACAGGAGTTAGCAGCCGGTGAACGTGAAGAAAGAAGAAGAAGAAGAAGTAGTTACCTTCAAATGTTCACAATGGGCTAGTTTAGTTATGTACCGTATCCTGTGTCTGCAGATATTGGCAGGTCGGACTCTTCCATTGTGGTTGAACTTTGCCACTCTGACCTCTGGACTTCGTTCCACAGACTTGGCACTGAGATGATTATCACAAAGTCTGGACGGTGGGTGTTTTTGTTTCAATGTGATTATTTTGTCTAGTCTAATATATAACCTTTCGCCTACGAGTATTTTACTACATAAAATGTGCAACCAACGGAGGCACGCATTGCTTTTAATATTGAATACAAGGGCTTTTTTCGAAGGCATACAGCACCGGCACCTTTTTTAAAGAATCATTTTTCCGGCATTCCAAGGTGTTCTTTGTAACCTTGGCTTCAGTCAAAGCCAAGATTCATAATTTCACTTTTCCTTTCTCCCCTAACTCGTTTTCCTTCCCGTTAATGTCTCCTATGTTCCGTGTTCTCTAAATCGTAGTCCGTAAGCCATGCCAGTTCGTCGCCGGTAAGATGCGTCAGGTTTTCTCCCTATGGTAACTTGTAATCAGTTTAAGGCAAAAAGGTTATTGGCCTGTTGTACCTTTGCATGGTGGAGGGGCTGCCTCCTTGCGGCCTCCATACAGGCCGTCTGGCTGATTCACGGTTACCCACTACTCCTGGAGACGCATGAAGCACTCAGGTTCAGCCAGACCCTCCTCCTTTTACAGCCGGGCTTAGGACCGGTCTTAGCTGAGTCCCAGCCCCCTCCACCCTCCCCCCCCCACACACACACAGATATATATACATATCTGTGTGTGTATGGGGAGGGGGGGGTGCTGCAAAGGTGTCGAACCACACATATTATATACATGATTCGTTAGATTATGCCAACATTACCGCAGCTAAGCTCACTTTTTTATGTCTGTACACACAGTCGTATGTTTCCAGCGCTGAAGATGCGAATTAATAATCTGAATCCAGACAAACATTACATTGTCCGACTAGAGTTTCTTCAACCGGACACCAGGAAATACAGATATATCTACCACAGGTTTGTGTGTGTTTGTTGGAATATGTTATAACCATTGCAGTTTTGTCAGTGTTTTATATGACACACGTAATCAGGAAGGCTGAATAAGATATTACGCTTGTGAAATTTACTACAAAACTACACCTACTTCAATGCACTTTTTGTGTGCTTCAAATGCTTTCTCTATTTGTGTATTCCTTTTTTTCACTGACCATTTATGTTTTTTATTTTTTATTTGTTGGTTCCTTTATTTATTTACACGGAATGTAAATGTGCCTAAAACACATACAACATCCAATAAATGCTGGGGTTGGTTCTGCAACGTCCTTATTTCTTTAAATTAAAAAACATGTTCGTTCTATTCTTTATTTCTGTCACTATACATAATATGTCTTTTCTATTCTCACATGAAAAAATATATATATACATACCAAGTTCTTTGTATCCGTGTTCGACGTTTTCATCTTCTTTTTCTGCACTCGTCATTAAAACGATTGATGTGGTGTAAAGTTAAGCTGCAATATCTGCCTATTTTGGCCTAAAATATCCAGTTTCAGTAAAAACTTTATTAGTCGCTTTGTACGACAACACCCATTCGGGAAGGCCTAGCGACTTAGTTCAAAAGTATTTTTGCTCAAAAATGTCTGATTATTTTCCCTCCAAAATATCTGAAAAGTTTCTCTCCAAAACATCTGATTACTTTCCCTTCAAAACACCTGATCACCTTCCTTTCAAAGTATTTTATCATTTCTCCCTCCACAACATCTGATCATTTCCACTCCAGTTCTCGTTGGATGGTATCTGGGTCTGGTGACAAGTTAACTACACCCCAGTTACACGTTAGCCCAGAGAGACCAGCTAGTGGTCAAGCTATCTGCTCACAGACTGTGTCATTTGAGAGACTGAAACTGACCAACGCCGAGCCATCCAGGACTGGACAAGTAAGTAAATGACTATGTCATCATATGTATAGTTCTTTTCTTGAATGATGCTATTATTTGGAGGTAGGAGATAGAGGCAACACTAACAGAATGTGGGGGGGGGGGGGGGGGGTGCTCAGCTCCCTAATAAATTTTTAGAGCCTGGTGTTTTTATTTTATTTATTAATTATTATTATTATTATTATTATTATTTGTTTAATGGCCAAAAAAAAAAATGAAATAATATATTTGAAATAATCAGAAATGTATATTCAGATGCTTAAAAAAAGATCTTCTGTTCAAGGCTGGTGGGAAGCAGAGGCAGCCTCTACCATCTTTTTTTTTTTTTTTTTTTTTTTGGGGGGGGGGGGGGGCACTTTATCTAGAGGAGAAAAAGCCAACAAGGAAAGGGGGGGGGGGGGGGGGGTTCAGCCAACATCTAAGATATTATTGGAGCTTGGGCCTCACTTTCTAGAAAGTAGAAGTCCAATGTGCATGAGCTCCCAGGTTTCAGCGCTAATTATATTATTATAATTACTGCGTCCATCGTTGGCATGGCCGGCCGTTCGTTTGATTTCAACTTGGTCTTAAACTAATGAACAGAGGTATGGAAACTGTATATTATGGGATGTCCAGGGGGCCTTTTTTTTTTTTTTGCGGCATACAGTACGGGAACAATTTTAAGCATCGTTTTTTAAAGTTTGATAAAATAGATACTTTGTGGTGAGTACCGGCACCTTTTTCAACCACTTATGGTTAGTACCGGCGCCTTACCCAGGGGATCGAGTCATTGCAAAACTCCAGTGTGCGTTGAGTTAGCACCATCTTTGTCCTAGCATATATGCTTGTGTAGTTGGTTATGAAAGAGTAGACAGGTTATGTAGACATTGTTAATGCCATTATAGAGGTTGAACGATCGGAGGATTCTGGGGCTGCACATCCACATCTTTACTAACAGTGCAAGAATTGGGAGTAAAGATCGGCATAGCCAGGCACGAGAAGGACACCGGACGCACGAGAAGTCTTGTCAAACAACATAAGACTGGGAGTATCCACCGCTCGACGCTGATGTATATGTTGAAAGGGGAATCTGAGCACCTATAGACATGTCCGGAGTGCCATGAAGTCATAACTCACACCATAACTCACTCACCGGCACTTCTTATTTCTAAACAAATCGCCCTGGTTGTCAAAACACAAATGTGACTACTCAATTCGTTTGTTTAAATGCTAACTTTAGAATTCTTCACAGGAAGTCATTGGTAATTTCAGGTTTCGCTAATTTCCATGCAAAAGTTCCAACCACAAGTTGTCATTCAAGAAGTTTATAATACCGACTGTAGTGACGTGGAGCACAGTGAGCAGTACGTCATCACGTTTCCACAAACGTCTTTTATGGCTGTCACGGCATATCAAAACCAACAGGTGGCTAGTTGTTGTGAATGTTGTTGTTCATTCTATTGCTACTGCTGTTGCTATTCATTATATTGTTACAGCTACTGCTAGCGTATTTATTATGTTGTTACCACTTCTGCAGTTGTTGCTCATTCTGTTACTCATGATTTTTTTTTTATGTTGTTACTGCAACGATGTTCATTGTGTTGTTACTGCTACAATGCTACACTGCTGGTGTGGTTATTATGGTGTTACTACTATTGAGGCTGATCTTTATTCTGTTGTTATTGCTTTTGTTGTTACTGCATATGCTGTTGTTGTTTATTATGTTATTGCTGCGAGTGCTGTTGTTGTTCATTCTATTGTTACTGCTACTACTATTGGTGTTCTTGTTTTCTTACTGCTACTGTTGTTATTGATTCTGCTGTTTTTCTTGTGGCCGATGTCCTTTGTTGATATTGTTTTTGTTGTTTTTTTATGCAGCTCTTGTTATTTTATGTTATCACATTCGATTTAAATGCAAATTGGACAGTCCTGCATTGCAGCAGCCATCTTACAGTACCTCTACTGATTGTTCCCATGAGTCGTTGGTTTCAGTGTCTACTATATTGACCTCGAAGACGTCAAATACTGGTTCACCAGACTTTACTCCCAGGTCGGGTAATCGGGTTAGCGTCTGAGGCTAGCCATTGTCCACTACCAGTATGGGCCGTATAGCAATGATGTTATAGCTCTGTCTACACTAATGCCCTAGATGCAGTAGGAAATTACTTGCCAGTTAGTCTTCCCGTTCATCATCCCTTACTTCAGCATGACCAAGGGTGTTAAAAAAAAAAACTCTTATTGTTACTGTTGTTGTTGTTTCCATTAGTACTCCTGCTGCTGTTGTTTTTAATTAATGTCGAATTGTTGTAGTTATTGTTATCACTTGAGGAGCTATTGCTGCTTTTGTTTTTTATTATTTCTGTTGCTATTATTTCAATGCTGTTGTTGCGACAATTTTGTTGCTTTGTCTGTGCTCTTGTTATTGATTTTGTTTTGTTGGTGTTACCTATTACTGCTATTGTTACTGTTATGCTATTTTTGTTAGTGGTATACTGCTGCTGTTACTATTGCTACAATTGCTGACTGAGATTAAGCCAACTTTGGTGGTAAATGCTCTAGCCCAGGGCCGTCTTAACAGAATTATAGACCCCTGAGGGAATCAGTGTGCTGAGGTCTCTACAACAAACACTCACAGGAATGAAATTGTTATTTGTGGGAAGTCACTCGACATACACATATTAGCACAAGGCCTCTATCCTCGTGAGAGCTCGGACAAGTTTCCAGCGGCTTATCCGTTAAGACGACACCGCTCTAATCATAGTTTAAAGCTCGAATGTTTTTACGTCTACATTCATAACTTTGTAGGGCTGTGCAGGACCGAGGGAGGTCATCGAGTTCGGGGATTTGGGGTCACATGGCTAGTGCCGTGACTGTTCAGATTAGGATTTCTGGCTGACTCACGATGTTAAATTTTCTTGTGGATTCCAACACGAGTCTCCGGCTTGAAGTCCCGACGATGTAACCGCTGTACCAGCCAACATATTGCAGAATATGTTAGGTGTAGTCTAACTTCTCGTCTCCTCCTCCCTGCCGTTGTCACTTCCGGCTGAATTTCCCAAACTCTTTATCGGTTGATGGCGCCAGTACTTCTTCAGATAATTTGCTACTCCCTTCGACAGCTCATTCACAAGGGCAGATAACGAGCTCTCCTGTCTAGCGCGACAGTCTTGTCACTTATTTGACCCTAACACCTTTCAGTAATTATTTCAATGGCTACAAATAAGATTAGATAAGTGTGGCGGGTTTATCGCTAGTGGCTGAAGCATAAGTGTATCTGCAGCTCTCAGTTTCCCGCGGCTAATGTGACTTTGAAATGAAAAAGTTAACAGTTTTATTAACAATAAAGACTACACTGTTCAAGGGCCCCCCCCCCCCCTTCCCCCCATATTCTCTCGTATTCTCTTTTTCTTCTTCTCCTGCTTCTCCTACCCCTTTACTCCTCCTCCATTTTTTTATAACTTTTTTTTTTCTTCTGTGTGCTTTTATTTCATAAAAGGGCATAAATCGTTAACATTAATCTTTAACATAAATCGTTAACGTAAATCGTTAACGAACTAACGCAAAACCGTTTGTAGCCTTCTTCGCCGTTTTGCCGGATTTGGCAGCTTCACTTTTCTATGGAAGGAAATAGCCCGCATAACGCCGACTTTATTCATTCGCCTCTTACGACATGCAATGTAGGTTACAGTGTTATTGTTCTTATTTGCCCTGATGAGTCCAGGAGTAAGTGAGTGTAAATACGTTACTCCTGGTGTCACAGAGTACGAGGATGTACTCTTCAACACTCAGAGAAAGTTACAGTCAGGTTGGTGGCTCGTGGTGTTGCTGTCCTGGAGCGAGCATCTTTCAGTAATAAAACTAGCTAACACGCACCTTGGATCTGAGCAAGACAGGGAACAAGCAACATACAAGCTCGTTCTCTGTCGTCTTGTACCTGCCTCAGCACCCTCAAATACTTCCAAATGTCCCCACTACTACTGGCCAACGAGCCAGTTGTGGATCTAGGGACCGAGGATAACTAACTTTATAATAGGGGAACAATTAAGGCACTCAAAAGAGCAGATCAGACATGAGCAACAAACATAAAGATAAAATTCCAAACGTATAAATCAGAGGAACAATCCAGCCACACACAATACAACTGTAGAAGTACACACACCATTGAGTTAGCAATACAAATATTGAGATAATAATCATTTCTATGGTAGAACAGAAATAAAAATAGAGAACATGGAGCATCCTCATGGTACAGAAATTGTGTTAAATCTTTAACAACAAAATGCATTAAGAAATAATTGTCCTACATAAGCTTGCTGGAGACCGGTCTTGAACACGGCCATCCGGCATGTTACACCTGGTATAGTACAGAAGCAGCATTTCTAGAAGAATATCCTGATAATGTGAGAATGTCATTTCAGAACGTCGCTCTCGCCACAGCATGCCTGAAAGGAATTCACTCCCTGACCAGCTGTCCCGCCAGCACCATCCTACCCAAGATATCACTTCTGTGCCCATCTTCTTCCTGGTTGGCCAGTGTCACTCTTTCTTGGCACCAAGCCTTCTTCTTCCTGATTGGCCAGTGTCACTCTTTCTTGGCACCAAGCCTTCTTCCTGGTTGGCCAGCGTCACTCTTTCTTGGCACCAAGCCTTCTTCTTCCTGGTTGGCCAGTGTCACTCTTTCTTGGCACCGAGCCTTCTTCTTCCTGGTTGGCCAGTATCACTCTTTCTTGGCACCAAGCCTTCTTCTTCCTGGTTGGCCAGTGTCACTCTTTCTTGGCACCAAGCCTTCTTCTTCCTGGTTGGCCAGTGTCACTCTTTCTTGGCACCAAGCCTTCTTCTTCCTGGTTGGCCAGTGTCATTCTTTCTTGGCACCAAGCCTTCTTCTTCTATTCTTTCGAATCCACTGAGGCACTTGTTATGCCCAAAATACTATGGAAATAAGAAGCTGTTTAATAGCCAAATTACCTTGATGTTCAGATCTTTTGAGATTTTTCTATTTTGCTTTCTTGGCCCAAGGTATTATAGGAAACGAGAAATGTAGAGTTGGTTGCATGCTAAAATCTAAGGATAAGTTCAGCAATTGGCGTGGGTTTATAGGTCGACCTGTGGAACCGGATGTTTTGGGTTCGAATCTGCACCCTGTTAGATACATATTTTTCCCCTTGACTTCGGCTCCCATGTCGACCCTGTCTTAAACCTTTTTTCAAGAAACTTTCAAATGAAGAAAGGCTGACAGTTTGATTTTGTTAGTATCACTCACTAGAGACCAGATAAGTAGGGGGAAAAAATGAAAACCTAGCTTGCTATCTTACGATTCATAACCGGAGGATAAATAAGTGATCTCTCTTTCACGACGCCATACTTATCGCTTCTGACACTCAGCAACGAGTACTACATCACTTAACAAAATTTCAGACACCAATAGTCGCTTGGAGATATCAGACACTTCACACAAAACAAATCATGTCTCTTGATGTAGCTGTTCCCGCCAGCCGTGTGTTTATCTATTTCACACCGTTATCATTATCTTTGTGTTTGAAAACTTCAAGTCATTTTCCCACGATCTTGGAATAATTTATGTTTTTGCGCGCTTTCTGAGCGTTTTATTTGTCGATATCGGATTCCTTCAGATTTCCGGTAAGGATTTCGGAGTGCATCTGCCTGTGAGGTAAGGAACCAACCGTCTGCATACAAATACGTCAGATCTGTAAAACGGATGTGCACGCAACACTCAAGTTCTAGAACAAGACTACGGTCCAGAAGTGGAGAACAATCAGAACTGTTCTTCGGAGTTTACAGATAGTGAACGCGGTGAGCGCACGCAAAGAATAAGAACAGGGCATTTTCAAATTAAAGCTCTGGGACCGCCCCCCCCCCCCCCCCCGCCCTTTTTTCCGCCCCCTCCCAATTTTTTTTAAAATTTCAATGATGAGGAACTGTTTTATTAAGTTAAACTAAAATTCTGTAAAATTTTTTTTTACCACGTTGGTGAACTTTAACATTTTATTTTATTTTGATTTAATGTTTTCCCCATTAAAGGACTACAGGTAGTCATGTTCTGTTGAATATTCAAAGAAACGAGGTCGCGTTAGCACAGTCGATAGGAGAATCGCTTTCAAATCCAGCTGCGACTCGCTGCACCCCTCGGTGTTCACAACCGGGCGGTTCCCGGGGTTCACCCAGCCTCTACGAAATGGGTACCAGAGTGTTAACACTCTGTGGTAAATGGAGGAACGTCGCTGTGGCTACGGAGTTACGCGCGAACGGCGACACAGGTGGACAATTTCTTATCAGCTGTCTGTACTGGTGGCAGAGCACTTATGGTTTATAACCGTGTGCAATGACGCTGGTTCACATCTCCTGACTTTACCTTTACTTTACATACACAGAAAAAAAAAATAATCCTACAAATTCCGGTGTTTACACAGATCCGACAATCCACGGAAGTTGGCCGGATTTTTAATGTCAACCTGTAGTAGCAGCAGCAGCAACAGCCGACTGCTGGTTCCTCCCCTCTCGGGTAAATGCTCCTTTCGAAGGAAATATTTCTAATTAGTGGACTCTTACGACATGCTTGTTAGGGGATAGTGGATTCCCCCCCCCCCCTTTCCATAGTGGGTCCCAGATCCAATACGTGGATAGCGCACATCAAGCATATTATTTTCATTCAGTTCAAATAGGCTAGTATGGGTAAGAATAAACAAAAGCCTGAGACAATAAACCAACATTTGATAATTTCTAGGAATTTTAAAAATATATATATATATATATTGAAAGAGAATTACATTTATGAAACAAAACAATAGAAATTATGTGAGGCTACTACAGATTATGTTGTTGTTTGCGGTCACCGGCTGTAGACCCAGGTGAAAAAACTTGGTTGTTCGTCCATTTCTGTTATTCGGCTTTGCTGCAGGACCTGAGTTTTGCGTGTGCATCCGTTTTACAGGTCTTGCTTTTTTGTGTGCAGACTGTTGGTTCCTTGCCTTTCAGGTAGATGTACTCCGAATTTGAAGAAAGCTCCAAATTAGTCGACTCCTACGACATGCTGGATGGGGAGGTAGTGGGTCTGTTCATGTCCTCCCCTCACCCACCCCTACAATGGGACTCCAGAACCCACACGAAGCCCTACAAATGGAAGGGCCTTAAGCTGTAGCTTTATTAGCTTATACCTGACTCCAATGTCTGCGTCTGTGGCTTAGGCATTGCGAACGCGCTTCGTAATACCGGAGTGCTGGGTTCGATCCCAGTTGCAGACGATTTGTCTTGCTCTGCTTCAGACAATGGTACCGAGAGCTGACCGCACATGAAGCAGTGGCAAACTAGTGAACGTAAAATCTGCCTAGAAAAACCACAACAGCTAATAAATGCTGGGGATTGTTCTGCAACGTCCTGTAAAGGATACGCAACTAACTGACTCCAACACTGTGTTGAAAGTTAGTGTCAAGTGTAACACTCTCGTTTAGTCACTAATGTATTTTTCAGGTGACTACATTGAAAATCGCGAGCAACCCCTTTGCCAAGGGTTTCCGAGAGTCTGGGAAGGCCAGGTAAAGTACAAACTGTTGATGGAAAAAATATAGTCTTTATTGATAATCATCGTTGTTTTTTTTTTTCCTCCTGCTTCTTCTCTTCCGCCTTCTACTACTACTAATACTACCACTCTCTTCTGCTGCTGCTAGTACTACCACTACTAGTGTTAGTATTGGTAGTAGTGGCAGTATTAGTTCATCAGCATCATAATCACCTCCATTCTCTTCTTCCTTTTCTTCTTCTTCTTCTTCTTCTTCTTCTTCTTCTTCTTCTTCTTCTTCTTCTTCTTCTTCTTCTTCTTCTTCTTCTTCTTCTTCTTCTTCTTCTTCTTCTTCTTCTTCTTCTTCTTCTTCTTCTTCTTCTTCTTCTTCTTCTTCTTCTTCTTCTTCTTCTTCTTCTTCTTCTTCTTCTTCTTCTTTGTCTCTCCTTTCCCCTCCTCCTAATCGTTTTCCAGCCTTCTCCATGCTGAGATGATAAGTATTGAATTATGGTGCTAGTTGCCACTATTGGGATGCAACTTTTCGGATCATAATAGTGTCAAACCTGTAGGTACAGCCAAAAAGGCGATATATAGTCCCTCGTGTAATGAAGATGTTATGAAATCAACTTCACTGTACGTTTCGTGTTCTTAGTCCTCTGGCTTATTGCTTTTTCCTGCCCGGTCTTATTTTGGCTAGTATTCATTTCCGGTGATTACACATGTGTCAGAGATTCAACTAGGCAGACAAACATGTGGATTTCTCTCGGATTGCTTCAGATAAATGATTTTTTTAAATGTTTTGTGGGGGTATTCCCATTCGTATGTGTGGCGTTGTCTATTCATGTGGTGTGCTGATAAAGGCTTACTGATTGCAACGTTCACATATCATTGGTGTTTGTGATAATGTGAAGCTGACTAGTTCTACTTTTTTCTTTGGGTTTAATATGCATAATCTTAGTCTTCTGATGCAGCAGTCATCCAAAGTTACTTACCTCTACTCACTGTTCTCGTGAGAATTTGGTTACAGTATCTTCTATTATTCCTGTCCCGAGTGCTGCCAGAAAGTTTCACCAGCCCTGAGATCACACATCTAAGACTAGATTGCAAGTCAACAGGACAAATCTCTGTTACTCTTTTAACCTCCATATAAGTTTATAGCGGGGCTCAGGTAACGGTAACACCAGCCTGGTGTAGCCAGCAGTCCGGTGCGGGTAAGGATAGCATAGTCAAAATATAATTTACTCTCCTATCCTGACCTCCACAACGGCATAGACAAGCTTATCCACGATTTACTCTCAGGTCAAGTAAATGGATCAGCGTTATCCACTAGCCAAGTCCGGACATCATCAACAATTCAACCTTCCAAGTTCTTCAATAGATTCTCAGCTTGTTAACAAATGTAAACACAAACACAAACATAAACTCTGTTTTATTTATTTTATTGTAAAAGTTACCCTGTTAAACCTGTATCTGAGGTCGCCGGTAAAGAATGCATGTTCATTATAAGTAGATAGACATTTTTCCCCATTTCCACCCCTCCCCCCCCCCCCAGCATTGCTTTTTGTAGGATTAAAACCTGATGAGATGGGAATCACATAGGTACAAATCCTGGAAACACACTTCAACCTATAAAACAGTGTGTACCAAGCCCCTTTCTGGAATAAAAGAATAGACCCGTGGACTCTTTCACAAGTAGTTGTACAAGATGGCTGATTTGGGTTTTCTTTCGAAATGGGAGTGCATTTCTCTGAAAGGCGAGGAACCAACTGTCTGCATACAAATAAGCCAGATCTGTAAAATGGAGTAGCACGTAAACGTAAGTTCTAGAATTAGGCTAAAATCCAGACGTGGACGAACAGCCGGGGTTTACAGCCACTGAACGCAAAAAAAAAAAAGTGAGTGGATAAGTGACGTTCAACCCCACCAGGAACGCACAACGAGTATGAACACCTGATAACACAAAGGGCCACTATTTGGATGAGAATCACCCGACCGCAAGTCACAAAACCCCTTTTCAACCGTTAAATTATATTATATATCGCCAAAAAGCAGTTTAAACCAAAAACTGTTTCTCTATAAATAAAAATAAAAAAAGACTGTTTTTAGTTTGGTTAAAAAAATCTTTTACAGAAACATTTTGTGTATGTATCGTTTTAATAGTTTCTTTTCGTTAGAAATTTGTATAGATAAAGTTAATTCTATTTCACAGAATACCGTTCGAGTCATTTGTGACTGGCTTGCCAAATTTATTGACTTACAACTCGTCAGCGAGTTATCTTCCAGGACTAATAAAACCTTCAACATGGCCTTGCTGCTTCCAGCAAGATTTGAACTCAAACTTTATTAATGAAAGCTGTGATACACATTCTAGTGTGAGTACCTGTAAGTATGCTTAACTACTTTCCCATTTATTTAGTTAGAATTATTATGTGTTTTTGCATGTTGATGCAATAGCACGAACATGATAAAAGCATAGTGCAGGAAGAATTCACCGTGGGATCTGGCCGACACTCTACCACAGAAAAACAAAACATAAGACAGCTAACTGTACAATCATAATTGGACCTCTTTGCTGGTTAATACTAGTGTATGATGTGAGGTGTAGGTATTATAATACATGCGGCTTGGTGGATTAAATGGTCCCCCCCCCCCCCCCCCAAAAAAAAAAAAAAAAAAAAAAAAAACAGCTACCATACAGAGCCTCCATAAGAGGGCATCGTTATTTGAAAGAAGAAAATAACGAGAGTCACAGTAAATCCAGTAAACCTTCGTAAAACATTCAAAGAAGAAGTAACCAGAGCCACCATAAATCCAGTGACCCTCAGTAATTTAAAAAAAAAAAATATATATATATATATATATATATATATATATATATATATATATATATATATATATATATATATATATATATATATATATATATATATATAGCAGCGCCTTCATAAGGTGGCTTCGTTTTACCCCCTTCTTTATGACAATTTAATTCACCTAGAAGCATTGATTATAATATCTATCCATTACATCATACACTTCTGCCACTGAAGATGAGAACGGCGCGTACTTATGCCTACGTCTGGAGTGCTGTGATGTTAGTTCTTTACTCAGGTTAACTCAGTTCATGTGTGTATGCGCTGGGTGGGAGAAACACTGAGATATTCTAATCTTGCCGAAGAAGGTGAGTACAGTCATGATTCGTGCAGAGTGGCATGCTTTGTCTCTTTTCTCCGGGATATGCAGGTGTGTTGGGAAATGAGCAGACAGATAGACTGACTGGCTCTGCTCAACCTAGTGGAAGACTGATGCATGATAAGGCAAACGTCGTCAAGGCCTTATGGAAACACGTGTACAATTCAGAGTAGCAAAAGGATCACCACTGTCTGGTGACAGCGAGACAGCAAGGTGTGGCGAGAAGATCTGGCCGATACTCTAGGCTGAGAGGAAAGACAAGACGAATGTATAATTAGACTGCTACTGGCACCATTGGTATTGGAACTCTGCGCTGGCTGCTGAAGATGGGGACGGAGCGCTTGTGTGAATGCCCCTATTGTTGTGATGTCAGTTCTTGAACTCAGCTCAAGGACTAGCGATTAATTGTCACCAGGTGTTGGTCGCTCGTTGGGCGGTCCTGGTCAGGTTGATCGTCAGTCACTAGCGATTACCGTATACTTGAACCGTCGCAGTTTGTGACCCCCTTTTTTATTTTAAGGCCCCAGCCTGACTGTCGTTGGGACCCTAATGTAACTTAACGGTTGAACGAGTTTCTGGGACTTGTGCCTCGGTGATTATCATCCGAAGGGTGGGTATTATCATCCGAATGGTAGCACTTTGTGTCACCTGGTGTTTATCGTTGTCTGGGTGGTCCTGGAAGGATTGAATGTCACTCACTCAATTACTAGCAATTGTTTTTTTTTTTTTTTTCTGGATTGAAATAAGGAAAGTGGCTCTTTGTGTCACTAAGTGCCAAATATTCAGTTTTCAGTAAACTTCATCATCATCGTGGGCCCTGCATAGCAATATAGGCTCTGATGTCTATCCGCAGATTTATATCTTGGGTATTTTGAATCAATTCCCCGACGATTTTCCATCATACTGTCGCTTTAGGCCGTCAAGCATCGTCTCTATCTTGGTTTGCCGCTGGTTTTTCTATCGTTGATCTTTACAGTTATCATAATATTCTCCAGTTTTCTCTCTTCGCATCAAATGACAGAAGAACGCTTTCTTAAGTTGAATACAGTTTTCAAATCTCATTAACAATTTGCAGGCAGTCGTTGTTGGTTACTCTGTCTGTCTCGGTATCCGCAGCATGCGCTGAGTAAACACAGTATTTGGTAATTCTCATTTCAGTAAGTCCTTTCCCCCCTCTATCTCTATGCTTGGGATCCACTGGTCAAATAGTTTGAACACTAGTTAACCCCCCCCCCCCCCCCACCCCTCTTTTTGTTGTCTCTATTCATAGGACCGACTGGTCAAATAGTTTTAACACCCGTTCCTCCCTATTTTCCCCCTCCCCGCTTTTATTTTCGCTCCTACGTCTGGATAAATTTTGGCACATTAGAGACAGTAAAAACAAATATCTTTATATATGGACATAATTCCTTTCCAGTACCTAGCTGCAGACTGTCCAGTGAACTACTTGGAATAACCGTCCCGGGAGCTATCAATATAATCTCTAAGGAGGTTAAACTGGGTACCTGGATTTGTCCTGTTCAATTTCCATCCAGGATACAACTCGAAACTTGCTTTACAATCTTTGGATAGCTGTCCCGGGGGGAACAGGGGTAGGGAGGGGGAGTGGACATCAAAGAGCTTTTTTTTTTGTTTTCATTGTATAAATGAGTGTATACGTCTATACATTACAGGTGAAGATCACCGTGCCAAACTGTTCAAAACAGAGGTCAAAAACTGCAAAACAAACTGCCTGAACTTTGACATGAAGAGAGATAATTCCTCTGTGCATGAAGTACGGTACAAATCACAGGAAACGATAGCCGACCATCACCTGTTACCACATTCACTTCATCTACAGCAACGTCAAGAAGAAGATCTAAAACAGCAGCTGCAGCGTCAACAGCGTCTTTCAACACAACACTTCAAAATGCAAGCATTGTTTCATCCTTTACCTGTTAATGTAGAGTTACTACGACATATTCCAGTGCCAACAATTGATATACTGACCCATGAAGACCCTTCCCAATTCATACCCATACAAAAGAAGGTGTTAGCTTTGCCTCGATCTGAACATATCAAGTCAGAACATCCGTTTAACCAACTCTCTGATGTTTATATCAAGCCAACAAATTCGTCAACTGCCAATAGTCTTTCGTGAAAGAATGTTTCCATGGCATTAGAGGACGGTTCGCATTGTTTTGTATGAACACAACTCCACAACAGTGATAAACTGTCAGCAGAGTCTCCGACTGTGCCAACTCCTTGAATATCTTCACGACCGTGTGTGCAGTCTAACTAGACTCTTAGAAGCGGTCATCGCAGGCTATTTCATGATGCATATGTTACCCCTTTGCCTTCACAACAGCCGAGCTATCTCACCGAATCAACGAAAACAGACTTTCAGTAGACTGTCTCAAGCACATGATGTGACCTAAATATATGTATATTTGGTGCTTTCGTTTTTTTTTTTTTAAATACCCCAAACAGACTGTCCAATTTTTCAGTGGGTGGTAGACAGGCTGCATGAAGTCGTCGGAACTAGGTTGCATGCAGTTGTGGGACCTAGGCTGCACTCTCTCGTGGAACGTAGGTGGGTTAAGTCCAGTTCTAGGTATTTTGGGGTAATTTAAAGCCCCATAAAGCCGCGAAATCCGGTCTTACCACCCTATAGAATATTGGACTGTCCCCGTGATGTCATATGGGTTGACTTATTACGAAAAAAACCCGAGTATTTGATTTTCTGCACAGCGGTTCACAATCTGTGGCCAGTAGGCGGAGTTCGGCTCTTCAAGTAATTAAATTCTCTGTTGGAGAAAAACACAATTCACTCTCTAAAAAAGATTGCGTTCAAATAACAATTAAAAAATAAATTTGAAAGTCGCGTCATTGTTTTATTATATAATTACCAGTATTATCTTCATCCAGCGTTATCGTTTTATCGTTTGCAGATTAAAGAGAAGTGACTTTTCCACTTCTTAGTGCGAAGTTTTTCAAACCATATGTCGCGACACCTTACTGTAAAACTTGAACAGAATAGTTGTAATAATGGTAGTTATTTGTGTTATTCAGTTTTCTTCTTCTTCAGCATTCAGAGTCCTTGGAGATATCACCCGCCTCCACTCAACTTTCTGGTTGTCCTTATCTTTCCAGGTGGTGACTCCAAGATTTTTATAGGTCTGTCTGGATATTACCTCTCCATAGTCTCCTGGTCTGCCTCGTGGTCTGTGACCACTCTATTCCCCCGTGTACACAGCTGTACCTCTCTGGCACCACTTCAGTCTATTAGCCACAATGACGAGAGTAATATATGGTGATGTAAACAGATTATGCATTTCGTTGTTGCTTCTCTATTCTCCTTTCCCCGCTGTTTATATATTTGATAGGTCCAAAGATTGGTCGTAAGACTCTGTTTTCGAAAATTTGAAATAATACCTCATCTCGTTTAGTTGTGCTCCAGGTCTCAGAGCCATATAAAACTACTGGTCTCATCAACGTTTTACATATTTTGATCTTGGTGTTGCGAGATAAAGACTTTGACTATAGCAGATGTTGAAGGATAAAGTTTACTTTATTTCCAGATTGTATTCTAGATTGCATTTCTTTTCTCGGCATGTTGGAGCAATTTAGGTTTACTTCCAAGAACTTATATATTTCCCTTTGTTTGATTTTCATATTATCGATTTGTATGTGGTCAGACTTTAAATACTTTTCCTATCTTGTTACTACCATACATTCTGTCGTATCTTGATTGAAGACTAGTCATTTTGTGAGCTGCTTCTTTGAGAGAGACAATGGATTTTGTACTTGATATTAAACCGAATCATTACTTCAGCTACAGGGAGCGTGTTTTGTGCTTCATACCATCTTCAGGTGGTAACGAAGAGAGTCGGAAGAGGGGAGGACGAGGAAATTGAAAGAGAAGAAGGCATAGAAATAGGAGAGCCGGAGCCCGGAGAGTACAATTAGACACGTGTGCAGGCTTCATAAATTTGTGCGAGGTAAAGAGTGGGTCAAAGTCTTGTGGAGGGTTCTTATCACTTTGGGTCGTGAGTGCAGGGACTGCCCAGCTGTCGCTGCAGAATCAGAAGTTCAACAAATGATTCACGACAATTCCCGCCTAAGTGATGTGTTTATCTATACAGATGGCTCTGTGTTAAGAGGACAGACGAGGTGCATGGAGGTTTATAGCAAAAACGAATGGACGTCGCTTAGTGCAACATGCTAGACGTTGTGAGTGCCCTCTGGGAGCGAGTGAACAGTGCAGAAGCGCATGTAGATCATTACGGTCTGAGGAGAATGGCGCTGCGAGGAGTTACCAGGGGATCTAGTCGACGCTCAACACTCAAGGGAAGGGCGAGACGGATATACAATCAGACAGTTACTGATGCCATCAGAATTGTAACTCTTCATTTGCTGCTGAAGATGGGGACAGGGCGCTTATGGGGATGAACCGAGTGCTATGATGTCGATTCTTAATTCAAATTTCAACATTTTTTTTGAGAGAGAGAGAGACAATGTTTATACCGTCTCTAATTCATTTTTCAACGTTATCAATGTCATCGACAAAACTAAGTATTCTCGTAGTTTCCCCTAAAGTACACTCTTTTTTTCAATTTGCTTTTAATGTTCTCTAGGGCCAAGTTGAACAGAAATCGAATACCTTGCTTTAAACAAGATGTTCTTTTTAACGGGGTCTGGTTTTCTTTATGTTTCCATATTTTAAGTGTCTTCCATATATAATTTGGTCATGGTTATTAATTTCTTTGGTATTCCAAAGTCCTTCAAAGCATTTCATAAACTGTTTCTATGTGCAGTATCATATGCCTTTTTTACAATACACAAAAAGATTATGTACATCTCTTCTATTCCAAATTTTGCTCTGCTATTTGTCGTAAAATGAATATCTAATATATTGTCGATCTTTTGTGTCGGAAACCGGCTTAGTAATCACCAATTATATCTTTGAGATATGGGTTTAGCCTGTTTAACAGTCACGCTAATAGTATCTTATAACTTGTAGACAATTGTGATATTCCTCTATGATTTTCACTTGTATACTTGTCTCCTTTCGTTAAAAAAAAAAATTGGTATTAATAATGACTCTCTTCACTCGTGGGGTTCCAAACTAGTTTTATTGATTCGTATATCTTTAAATGTAATGCATGATCAATTTCTTTTATAAGTCCAACAGTAATTATATCAGCACCAGCTGCTTTAGTTTTATTACTGCTGCTAGTAATTTTGAAACCTTTGGGTTATCCTTTACCGGTTCCATAAAAATGTACTCCTTTTTTAGTGCCGGTTCTATTTGTAGGCTTATTAAAATGAGCCAGGTCTGTGAACAATTGGACTATTCCAATGATAGGGGTAGTAGAATGCTTCCTTATCTATAGCAAAACGCAAACACCCCATCACCCCACCCCTCTTCCCCTCGAATCCTCCTTCCCTTACGTTCCACCAAAATACATACGCACATGGTAAAAACACACATACACGCGCACATCATACAGACGCGCACGCGTATCAACTTATATATATAGACACACACGTGCAATCGCATTAACTCATTCATACAAATAGACACATAAGCACTCTCGCAAAAACTATCACCCAAACTTACACCACGCTCTCTCTCTCACTCTCTCTCTCTCTCTCTCTCTCTCTCTCTCTCTCTCTCTCTATCTCTATCTATCTATCTATCTATCTATCTCTCTCGCTCTCTCTCTCTCTCACCCTTGCTCTCATACCACGCAAACAATAGCAGTTCCACGGATTTTTCGATAGATCAGTGTTATTAAGTAATTATTGACTTGGGACGTCACAACCCTAGGGACACTTCCATAAAAGCACTATCTCCATATGCAACCAGAAGCGCAGAGATCTAGCAGTTGTTTGAATTGATTGCAACACTTATCAGTGTTTATTCTCAGTTAGTTCACAGTTGCCGTTCCACAACCATTTGCTACCTAAAATAGAACACAATTCATCTTCAGCAGCAAAACAACAGGGTCTTAACATCAATGGGGATTTCGTGACCTGTCTTGCAAATGTTGACTTGAGCAGAATTAAGCTGAGCTAAGTCGATGTGAGTTGAAGTAAACTGAGTTGTGATGAACTGAGTTCGTGTGACCTGAATTCATGATGTCAGCTGTTTTGTGATGAGCTGAGTTGCTGTGAGCTGAATTCGTGGTGTCAAATGTTTTGGGATGAGCTATGGTCATGAGCGCCTAGTGTTCGAGTGGAGTAATGCTGAATAATAAAATGTGACTTCACAGCTCAACAGCGGAAATGGAAAGACACGCATAAATACAACCGAATCCTTCGACCAACGTCTTTATTAGCAGAGTACTAAGTGACTGAAAATCTCAACTGACAAGACAACAGAGCTTCTAAACAACAAAAGGTTAACACGAAAGAAAGAAGAACGTAATTTGGGTTGGAGGGTGGTGGTGTGGTATCGACAACAGAGGCTATACTGCGAAACGAAAAAAGGAATTTGAAAAAACAAATAGTTGGAGAAATAAAAAAATAAAAAAATGTAAAAAAAAGTTAAATATAGCTGTCCTGAATATTAATCCCTACAGGACTGAGAACGCCAAAACTGTGAATGAAACCAGTAACTGAGATATCGCTTAAGCCTTAGCTGTCAGAACTGTTAAAATGGTAGGGATACTGGTTTGAGAGCCTTATAACGAATATCCTGACGATTTTCACAGAAAAAGATATGCTAGCTTCCTAGCTGTTCCCCCAATGTGTGCCTTACTGCATTGTGTTGGCGTGCGTGCGAGCGTGCGTGTGTGTGCGCACATATGATGACATAAATTAGGTTACGCCGTTTACAAGTAAATGCTCGCCATATGTGAAATAAATACTTCAGGAAGCAGGCCGAAAGGGTCTTGATCATAAATGGACATGTCTGCATCTAGTCCGGGAGCATTGATTCTTTCTTTCTAATAATGAGTCACTGATACCAGGGAAGAGATCTAGATAGAGGCTTTAATTTCGTCCTGATATCAAAAAGTTAAAGTAAAGGACCCTTTTCCTAATACCTGTATTAGGCGTACAGGGCATATAGGGCTAGACCTAAATTTTTAAAGATCAATCGGCACAAAATGGGTGTTGCTGTTGGCATCCCGCGGGCCGCCTTTACTTCCAGGG